TCACCTAGTTGGTGGCATGAAGGAGAGTACGGGTTGTACATTTCATCACCTGGTTGATGGCATGAAGGAGAGTACAGGTTGTACATTTCATCACTTGGTTGGTGGCATGAAGATGAGTTCCTTCTTTACATTTCATCACCTGGTTGGTGAGAATAAATGCAAGGTGTCTAGGCACATTATAGCAAGTGTCGAATGACACAAAGTATGTTGAACCCTTTCAAAGCACAGTTGGCTTATGTATGGATGTGTTGAAATGTATGATGTTTATGTATGAATGTGTTGGAATGTATGATGTTTATTTATGAATGTGTTGGAATGTATGATGTTTATGTTGATTGATATGAGTGATGCTTATGGATGTTTTGCTATACATGAAGGGATCCATGCTTTTGATATGTGAACCATGTTGGTTGTAACACTTAGTATCACATACTTTGTGTCAAAGTACGCATGTTGAAGCTCTGAGTTGGAGTATAAGGGTAGGTCAGCGTAGACCAAATGTTCCAGTGCTAGGAACGCAAAAGACTCAGAAGAAGTTGTCTGAATTCCCTTTTCTTTAAATATTTGCCGAATGGCTTGTGTGACAAAAGATCTCAAGTGGTTGAGAGTTAAAACATTTGTAATGTGTATGCCTTCTTATAATAGCATTTCTTTCAGTATCTAGTCCTCCACTTTGAAAGAGTGAGGCTTGACCCCATAGTCATAATAGTCGACGGTACGTTCACTCCTGGTTGTCTTGATACGAACTTTTATCCCTCTTGTTGTAATGGGCTTGCTGAGAGTTAAAATCATTCCTCTTACCAAGAGACAGATACGTTTGGTGACTTAGCGAGTAGCTAAATAAGGCAGGAGATGATGCAATGGGTGTCTGAATGGCTAAGATCTCTTCACTTGGTAGAACTTGACTTCCACTTCCCACTTGTTAATAAGGGTTAACTATATGGGGGTTCCCTTGATATGTTCTTGTTTCGGCGGAGGCGTGGTTGTAAGTCTGTGCCATCACCTCAGAGTAAGTTTTCCAAGTGTTGGCATTGATCATGTACTTGAAGAAACAATCACGTAAGCCTACCGTGAAGGCATTGAGGGCGGTCTTATCATCTGCCTCAGCACAGCAAGAATACTCATAGCTGAAGCGATCGGTATACTCTCGTAGTGACTCGTTCGGCTTCTGGCGAATAATGTACAAGTCATCTGCAGAATGCAAGTGATCTATCTGGAAAATGTGTTGAAAGACAAACAGTTTCCTTAGTTCCTCAAATGAGTTTATTGTCTCAGGTGAAAGACGGCAATACCAGTTTAGAGTTCCGCCAGAGAGGGTGGAGAGGAAGAGAAGACATCGCTCTTCGTTGGTGCATCCGATATGCCATGGTGGACTCAAAGAGGTTAAGGTGTTCAATTGGGTCTTCCCTTCCAATATAGAGTTGTAAACCAAGCTTTCGTTTTGTCTTCGCTTCAAGGGGGTGTCAAGGATCCTCCTTGTGAGAGGGCTAGGCCTGGGTTGGTTCCAGTTAGGTATCTCGGCCTGACGTTCGGCCTTCAACTTGTTTACTTCCTTAAGGAGCTGTAGGACAAGGGAGTCCTGAGTGGAGTCATGTACCACTGGAATTTTCTTTTGTAAGTCTCTATCGCCTCTTGGAAGTAGGAAAGTTTAAGAAAGAGCGTGTGGTTTTTCCTTAGACTCGCCGTACTGACTTCTAGGGCGAGTTTGTCGGAATACCTCATAGTCCCCTGTACCTTCATGTTCCTCTAGGACCTGTTGTTCCTTCTCTAGATTGGCAGCTGGCCTGGGTCGTAGGATGAGACTAAGTCTTTCATAAACCATTGGGTCATTGATCTTTAAGCATATATGGAGGGGATTATCTCGAAATTGCTTTAGGAAGCCTCGACAGTCGCGATAAACGGCTTTCGATCCTTCCAACCCTTCTGCAAGGAGGTGTCTTCCTCCACTTCTCCTGCTTCGGGTCGAAGCATTTGGGTTGACAGAAGTTTCATGTTGATCAATGTTTTGATGATTAGCTCGCTCCTCATCAGGGATACCCATGTCGAAGGGAGGTAACCCTTCGTGTTGGGAGGCACCCAGATGATGGTTGATGTCCACAGGGGCAACGAGCTCACGTGTTTGAGTACACCTAGTTTCGTGGAGCGTCTCAAAGAGCTTCTCATACTGCTTCTGGAGTACCTTATTCTTCATTGCTATCTTGTTGTTCTGAGCTTCTAGCTTATCGACTTTAGCTTGAAGAGCAACCTTCTTTTCTTATTTCTTTCCTTGCTTCGCACTAGGTGCAAGAGGGGTGTTATTCTGTGTGCTGTGGCTTTCTTAGCTCCCCATGTTGGAGAGGGATGCTTGGTCAAAAGAGAGTGTACGAATGGTGGAAACCACATTGACAAAGTTGAAGAGAGTGGGAATAAGTGTCGTTTCCCACAGACAGCGCCAAATGTTGATGCACAAAATCAGTGAGGACTTTGGTACAACATAAAATGTTAAGTTTGTGACCTTCACTAGATTGCTTCGGTCACTAGTGTGGATAAGTATGTAAATGGATAGGGACAGGGAAGCAAACACAAGATGTACGTGGTTCACCCAGATTGGCTACGTCCACGGAGTAGAGGAGTTCTCATTAATTGTGAAGGGTTTACACAAGTACATAGGTTCAAGCTCTCCTTTAGTGAGTACTAGTGAATGATTTAGTACAAATGACATTAGGAAATATTGTGAGAGAATGATCTCTATTTATAGAAGAAAGTTTCTAGTTTCATTCTGACATTGACACGTGTCGTGTTATGATTGGCTTCTGATGTTGACACGTGTCGCGCTATGATTGGCTTCTGATGTCGACACATGTCGCGCTGTGATTGGCCTCCTGGTTGGAGGGAAACTCTTCTAGGTCCTTGACGGTATAACGTTGATCGGTGCTCAGTAGTTTCGAGATTTGGTCAAGTATGGTACAAACACACACTATATGCTCAACGGATACATATGTCATGCACACTATATACTCTATACATGCACATGATATGCACAGTGCATACTAATAACATGCACATGGTTTGTGGATCTTGTAGTTATTCTATTCCCCATATTAATGTCACAAACTTGTTGCTCAAACATCTTGTTGATGCACAAAACCGGAGGTCTTGGAACAACGTAAATCCGACCGTGAATCTGCAAGAAAGTAAATAACACAAGATGTATCGTGGTTCACCCCAAGGTTTGGGCTACGTCCACACTGATATTGTATTTCTGATAGGGTTGTGAGGGAGAGAGTGTGAGAGCCTCTGTAATGAGAGTGAGGCTCTGAGAGGGGGTGAGAGGGCCTAGGAATTGGCCTCTCCTAATTGTGAGGGTGATGAGTCCTTTTATAGAATAAGGGCTCCTCACTTATTACATATTTACCCCTTCATTTATTACATAATTACATTTAAGTCCCCCGAATATTTGTACGAGATCTAAATACGGAGGCCCTAAATATGATATAAACACATCTACATAGTGGATTCTGTTGCAACTAGACTTGTAATTCCACTTTGCAATATTATAAATATAAAAATAACATCTCAATTTAAAATCTCTAAGAATGTAGCATGTCTATCATATGTGAATGGGTTCCACGTTGCTAGTTTCAACTGCTAGATGAGTTCCACGTTAACCCCAGCCAACGGAACATACACTATCATCAATCCCCAAGTCACATAACTTAGTTAACTGCAAGTAGCATTCAATCGTAAAATAAAAAATATTACATCAGCAAAGACTCAAAGTGATCAATTTCATACATACACCAAGAAAAATACTCACACATGATCGAAAAACAGTTATAGTCATTAAAAGGTTGCGACTCGTGACATCGAAAAACTTCCACGTTTGCCTCAAATTACAACAACAATGTTAAAATAAGAAAGAGAAGCAAAATAATGCTAGAGATTACCTTGCTGCTACAAGCATTCCATAAATAAACAAAATTTCCCAACCCAACAACAAGCACTTTGTGCAAACCAATCGACAATGTTTGGATATAAATCGTCCTGCAAAGCAGTTGTATCCAAAACCCGAACAAGAAACCAAATTTCCATAAATAAAAAAAAAAAAAAAAAAACCCAATTCACAACACTCAAAATCCAACCAAACCCAAATCGCCAAAAGACTAGAAAGTGATGAAAGTCACCTTATAAGGCGATCGCAAACCTTCAGAGGAGCCCGAAAGGGGTAAGCGAGTGCATTGATCGGCGAGTCTCGCTTTTGAACCGAAAGATGTTGGGGCTGAGCGGGTTCATCTGAATCACGCTTCTTTTCTCAGGCGTCGCTAGAGGGACAATGCCGGCAGAGTCAGGTCCAAAGAGGGCAGGCGTATCGTAGGTGAGGAGAGAGAGAGTTGTTGGATGATGGATGAAGATGGGTGAGTTCCACTATGTTAAGAAATTTAAGATTACTAAGAAATTTTAAAATGATGAAATTTTATTTATAGAATTTGTGAATTTTCTTGTTTGGGTAACCTAAAAGAACAATGAAATTGAATACGGAATTTGTTGTTTTTAAACTCTCAATCATAGAAATTGGAAAATGACACCTATTTACATGGAATTTAAACTTGGGAATTGAAGGTCCCAAATTCCAAGTTTTTTTCCATGGGAAATTCTAAATTTCTATGTTTATGAATCTAAATAAGGGAATTGATGCATCAATTTATAAATTCTGTCTTTAATTCAAATTCTAAGTTTATTTCCCTCATCCAAACATAGTGTTATGGTTCTTTGAGCTGAGGATTGGGCGAGAGAAATTTTCGGAGAAACGTGCAAATGACGTTTGGGTGGGAGGAAATAGCCATTTATATATAAGAGTAATTAAGTCATTTTAAGGTGTATAAAGAATCTTAGTTCTGTCCAATTGTTATGCATTGCATGGGCATAACTTGTTCATATTCAAAATGTCGTATTTCTATCTTAAGATTAAAAAATTATCCTATTTCTATTTTTGGTTCTTTTCCTAGCACCCAGCTCCGCCTTGTCCCATTTTATTTTCAAATGGGTCCAGCCCGATTCTTTTTAATTTTAGGCCCGTTGCTTCTTCTTCCTCGCGTACCCTTCTGCGAAGTCGCACGTTGCGGTGGCTCGTCGTGAAGTCCCCCTCGGAGAGTAAGAATCCCCCAAATTGTTGGGGGAAATTGCCATGGATGCCAAGGACATCTTGGGCTTGCCCAAATCGACGCATCCCGCATCCCAGGAGAAGAAATCTCGGCCGTTGAAGGAATCTCAGCGAAAACCAGATGGCATTTCGCGCGAGGTACGATTTGATTGTCTGTGTTTAGGGTTTATCGGATTTCGTGTAAATTTATCAAATTTCGGTGATAATGCATGGTGGGTTTATCAAATTTTGGTTGTATAATCTTGAACGATTGAGAAATTGAAATGATAATGCGTTTTCTGGCTTTTCGAGTTGCAGGTGTATGCGCTTACCGGTGGTGTTCCACCTCTCATGCCGGCAGTGGAGCCATTACAGCTGAAAAAAAGGCCTCCGACTGATGAAAAGGTTAATTCTGTTCATCATTTGCTTATTTACTCACATTTGTAGTATTACTGGAAGCGTAAAAGATTGTAGGATTTATATATTTGAGTTGCTTGTAGATGTAGCCAGTTATCTTTCATGTAGTTTTTTTTTTTTTTTTTTTTTGGGGGATATTTCACTTCCACAATCAGTTATGCTAAGTCTGCCATTATGCTTTCAGATCACTTGGCAGTGGCTTCCTTTTACTAGTTCTGCCCGGAAAGATAATTTACGGCTCTACCACTGGGTATGTTTTGGACCTTATGTAGCACGCGTCCAAGCTCTGCGTTTCTTTTCTTTTCTTTTTTTTTTCCAGTCGGGCTGTGTGTATGACTTTAGTCACTGCTACTATGCAGGTTAAAGTTGTAAATGGCGTCCCGCCTACAGGTGACTACTCCTTTGCCAAGTATAACAAGGTACAACTAACCTTAATTGTGTTGGGAAAGGATTGTCCCTTTTCTTATGAACATATAATTTGACTTTGTTTCAGGTGAAGTGAATACATATTATGTATTGATTTTATTTTTCAAAATCTGTGCAGTCTGTGGACGTTGTCAAGTACACAGACGAGGAGTATGAGAAGCATTTGACTGATGATGTAGGTATCAAATTAAGATTTTATTTGTGTGATGTCATTTTATTTAGGGTATTTGGATTTTAGGGCCTCAATAAGTGCTGTTATAGATGGAAATATAAAAGCTTTTTTTTTTTTTAATTTAATTTAGGTTCAGATTTAAAATCCAGCTCCACATCATATGAAATGATTTCAAGTGTTCAAATTATAGGATAATATTGCCATCTGAAATTCCAGCCTAACCGATTATTAAGCTTTAGAAGTAGGAATTGATTGTGAGAAAGCTTTACTTGCCTCATTCTCTGTTGTTATATTGTGTCTCCTTTAGATGTGGACAAAGGAGGTGACGGATCAATTGTTTGAATTGTGTCAACAATTTGATCTACGCTTCATTGTGATAGCAGACAGGTTCTCGTCTTCTCGTACTGTGGAAGAACTGAAGGAACGCTATTACAAAGGTATTGTCTATCTGTTTTCTTTACGAATTTTTTTTTGCTCACTATTTGGTTCACTCTTATGATGTTCATGTTATGCTTTAATTTCTATGCTTGAATCTTTAAATGATTCACTGTTTGAGAAAGATCATTGAACTTGGCTATTGCAGATGCTGATTATCTCATTATTTATTGTAGTATCTCGATCTATATTAATTGCTAGAGCGGCGGCATTGCCTGGAGATGTTTCAGAGCATCCTATTGTTAAGGTTTGTAGCCTTGTCAACTTATCTTTTAGGCAAATATTAATTCCTTTTTGTTGGCAGAGAATCTCTCTGGGAACAAGTTAATTCAGCTGTGTGTGTATTGGTCTTCATAGACCCTGCATTGGCGGCAGACATGACTGGGCTACCCTTTATTAGTTTCTTTACTTACAGTTTCTCTGCTTTGGTTTATCTTGTTTTCTCTTGGTTTAGGAACCTTACAAATTTACACAAGAGAGAGATTGCAAGCGAGCATTGTCCATGGTTCTCTCTCAAACAAAGCACCAAGAGAGAAAAGATTCTGAGGTTTTCATCCATCAATCAAGAGTGATTGATTCTTTAACGTGGCCCTGCAACATTAATTGGGGATTTGATTTTTCAAATGGATACATTCATTCACTTGTCTGATCCATTGTACGTTATCTTAGGTTCTGGCAGAAGCCAAAAGAATAGCTGAGTCACGCATGGCTGCAAGGGTAAGTTTACCGTTAGATACTATGCTTTATTTGTATTTACTGGTGAGTTCACGACCATTTAGGAAACTGTACTTTCTTGTCACTTCTACTCTGTGGGTAGAATGAACCGCTATGCTTCTCCAAAGTATACTGCTCTGTATTACACATAGCTATCCATTTTTTCTTTTTTTTTTTTTAAGGTTTAGGATTTACCTCTTTTCTTTGTGGTAGGGGTATGTTTGTTAACTTCAAGTTTACTTCATTATAGATAGATACATTGTATGTTATGTAAAATTAGACTAAGTGATATCAAGGTATTTACTTTTACATTGGCTCTGCATTCCTCCTTGTATTGGTAAACCACTAAACCCCATTTCCTGAATTAGGAGGTATTCCAGCATCCGTTAATGACCCTTTTTCCTATTAACTAGAATTGTTAAAAGTATTTATTAGTGACTCTCATTGTGGAAGGGTTATAGCCCCTGCAATGGTTGTTCAATTTTCAAAATCAGAATGAATAGGTATGTGCATGCATCTGAGTGTTGTGTGTGTATGTACTTTATTTTTCTGTATTTCAGAATGCTAAAGAGTCGGAGTTGCTCGTCACATTTACTATGGATAGTGAGAGGGCTATTGTTTTTGGTGGGACTCTATCATGTCCATCCAACTCTGAGTTCGCCCCTGCAATGGTTGCACATTCAACTTCAATGGCAGAGAATGCCTCTACTCTAGCTTCTCTCCGCATGGTATGTTTAAATGGTTTGCCAGATTTTGTTCTATATCCTCGTTCCTTTCCCGTGAAAGTTACTACTGCATGACTTCATTTTTGGTCCTCTGTTTGTATCCATTTTTTCTTCAAGGAAAATCTTGTACTTAATTTCTTTGAAATATGTAAGATATCCATTCTCCAGTTCATTGACTGGTTGATTGAGAAAATTTCCAGCTTCGGGTGTATCTTAGAACATATGCACTTGACCAAATGATTCAATCTGCAAGCTCATCTGCTGGACTTCGGACTATCAAGCGGATTGAACAAAGTTTGCAAGAACTTGGGGTCTGTACTACTTCTTAAACTATTGATCAAGTATAGATGCTTTTTTCATTGTCAAACTTGGTAGCATATTTTTTTTTATCTTGTGCAGCAAATTTTCAGATCCATTACATGTTACCATGGTTGATCTTGTTTCATAAATTTCACCTTTGCTTTGTTTTAAATTTCCTTTACCTTATCATGATAGAGGTTAAATCACTTGGTAATTCAGTTTCATTGCACTGTCTGTCCATTCATGAATATGGATGAATTTCTAGACAATTACTTCTTGTCATAACAACTTATAGAATTCCATTGAAGAGCAGAATTCCATTGAAGAGAGATGCTTTGTGGTATTTGGCGATCCTGCTTTGTGTATTCTTAAATTCTATATGAAAGTTAGATATCATTATTTGCTCATTTCTTGTTATCTTGTTTTAGTAATAAGCTCAGTTATATTGTTTGGTTCTTGATAATCAAGAATTTTGCCATTCAAAATTGCAAAGTATGTATTTATATTCAGAGCAACATATCCTATGAATATCTTTATTCCTCATTTGTTGTTTTTTAAAAGAGTAAATTTGTGCATTTTGCTTTACAGGTTAATTTAAAGCCAAGAGTTCCAACTAAAGCCGTTTGTGCACAGCATCTTGAACTAAGAAAAGAAATATTGACGCTACTGAATCTTCAGAAACAGGTGTTACTTAGCTAAGCTTTGTCTTTTATAAATACTGTAAATATTCATTTATAAGTTAGAGAGCATCGTATATCCCTTAAAACATGTATCGATGATATCGCTTTTCTCCAAGTGTTAGCAAGGGGTGTGTTTTGTAATTCTAATTTCCTTAACCAAACTCACTGTCTTTTGAACAACATCATCATTGTTCATCTGTGTTGGTTTCATTTCTGTTTAACTGCAAATAATTTGGTTGCTTAACTGCAGTTTTAAAATGAAGAGTGCATCTTTCTTCAGTTTTGTATTTTATTTGACATAAGTAATACTTTTGGTTATCAGCTACAATATAAGGAGGCAGGAGGCTCATCTTATCGTGATAGTCCATACGAAACACCAGGCACACCCAAGGTTTGTTGTCCGTACTTGTAGTAGGCTTCTCAATTGATAAGCTATCTTGTGATTCAAACGATGAGATTTTTCTGACTCTACTGTCTTCTTATTGTGGTGATCAGGATCGCACTTTTGTTCCTGATTCAACAAGTTTCGGAGGTGAATTATTAGGTGATAATAGGAAATTTTGTCTCATCCTGCACGCTTGTTTATTGTTTGCTTGTCTGATTCTTTTGGTTGTTCTGAGTGTTCTTCTAGTACTGTTGACCTCATTTATATCCATTGGATGTCAGGGGATAGAGTTGGTAAACGAGACCAAAAACGAAAAGCCCTTGGTAGGGCAGAAGCTCCATCATTGCCTGCGCAGTCTAAAAGGCCTAGAAAGTTAAGGGCATCGGATCTGTAGCTCCAGAACTGAGTAAGCAAATCAGCTCTTAGTTGACCTGGCAAGCAGAATGCATAATTAAATTGGTGCAGGTCTTCCGATAGTTTCAAATGTAGTAGCAACCGAAGTAGGAGAAGAGGCTTTTGTTTCTAGCTAGTAATTCTAGTTGGTAGTTAACAGTGACCGGCGATGATGGACTTAACCAGCAAGTAATTCTGAGTTGGGAGCGCCGAGTAAAGTGCATGGCATAAGTGGAAGTTCCAATTTCCGTTAACCTTAAGGAAATTGTCCAATTATAAATAGTCAGAGTTACCACATTAGGTTAAAACTATGTGAAATGCTATATTTATGTAAATATATTTCTTGCTAATTCCAATATTAGACTGGCATTTAGGTGATTGAGTGGCAATGTTGAAATGCTGATTAGGAACACGACCTAGTACACTAAGGGCCCGTTTGTTTGACCTTCTTAAGTTTCACTGGACGAGACTGGCTTACTAGTCCTGTGTTTGGTGCAAGCAGGACAAAGTTCAATGGGACTAAGTCGGACTCGTGCCGACTAAGTCCTTCACTGCGTGGTCTTAGCGAGGCCCCTCAAAACGTTTGGGATTGCTAATCCTGTCTCTGAACTTGCGTTGTGTGCAACCGTGTCGTCTACAAGCATGCCTCTCTGCAACTCCATTTGCCTTCATGCCCAGATCTTAAACCTAGATTTGAAACCCAGCCCACTCATGCCCATATCTGAAACAAAAAATGCAAAACAAAGACAACAATCCCAATAAAAATTCTTCCCTCTTCCCAGAAAATTATGAGGAGTGAGAAACAGAGGTAGCAAAGTCCATGGCGATGGGTACCGAGAGGATGAAGCCTCTACACAATTTCAGCTTGCCATGGGATGTGAAGTGGGTGATGTTGATTGTTGGCGGCGAGTGGGATGACCTTGCCGTGGGATTTAAAGTGGGTGTAGTTGATTGTGAGAGGAAGTGAAGAGGGAGAGAGCTTGACAAAAGAAAAGGGAATCCAGAAGTTTGAGAAATGTGGTTGGTTTGTGAGTCGGTTCTCTTCTTCTAATAGTAGAAGATAGTTTTTTATGGAATGACATAATAATATTTGTTTTTTAAAGGCAAAAGTAAATTAAAAATGACAATTGGCTAATGTTAACTAGAATTTTCATTAGTTTCCAAAAAAAAAAAAAAAAAAAAAACAAAAAAAGAATTTTCATTGTCCTGCTTCTTAGTCCGACACTGCACCAAACGCTTCACTAAGCTAGTTCAGCTTAGTTTAGTCTAAGCTAGTCCAGCTTAGTCCCTGCAGCTAGTCTAGTCCGAGACAGTCTGGTGCAACAAACGCATCCTAAGTGTTGTAATATAAGTGGGGAGAAGTTCTTTCTTCAAATGTCCGTCTGACTTATGACAGTGTAACGGGTCATGTTCCGAACATCTAGAAAAATCTCTCCTCAGATTGTCTCCGTCTCCTCTCGTGTAACTGGTATCTCTCTTCTTTCACAACAGGTGACTGAACATTTACCCGGCGGCTTGCAGCTTTCATCCGCAGTTCATATAAATGGGTATGGTGGCCAATGTCTCTAATAGTTGAGTTCAAAATCGCTTCTAGTGAAATCCCTTGCCATAACACCTCTGATCCATGCTTAGTATCAACATCTTCCAATTTTCATAATTGCAAAACTCACTCTAAAACACATTTGTTCAATGCTTACGAAGTTAGGTTGATTCATTAGGGTCTTTTTTACTTTGGGGGAATTAATTATAATAAACATATTTTGACATTTTGTACAAAATAATCAGTGTTTATTGTGTGATCATTATATCATCATTACGTCATTAATATATGATTACTATGTTTTTTTTTTTTTTTATAATAAATGATCATTTTCGTAAACAAAATCTCAAAATGTTTATGGTAAAATTTCCATTTTGTGTGTGTATTTTTAGGCATTATCCGAAAGAATCGAACCATTCTCGAATAGATCCGATCTAGTACAGTTGCCACGATCATTTTTGCTTAAAGCTGAAGCGAAATGGTTATGTTGCATGATTCAATTTTCAGTTTTGGGAGTGAATCGGGCCGAACTAAAAGAACAAATATGTCTAAAAGGGAGGATCCAACATCATTGATTTTGATTTCTAAAAGCTCGCAAAACACATGAAGAGGGACTGTCAACAGTTGAAACTTGAGTCAGATTTAAGAGATTCTACGCACGGGCGAATGAGTGAACTTGCCGCATAGTTTCATACATTTCATGGTCAGATGAAACTTGAGCTAGATTTCTAATGTGGAAAAACTTAGGAAACTCCGATCACCCGCATATTGCACATCAAGATTACGCACGCTAGCTACCAACAGAGCAGCGGGTGCTTTCATTTCAGGATGGGGGAGGTTGAAATTGGGCCACAAGGAGCTTCATGTGGTAGATGATTTTTGGCTTTGGTAGTGGATGAATCGGCACGTATTTTGTTGCGCTTGTTGACTTTCCACAGCTTTGATCTTGAACTGGGTTGGAGGATTTTTTGGATTCCTCCAATTGTTGATTTTCCACAGCTTATTCTTGAACTAGGTTTTGATTCAAGGGTGGTAGACACTTGATCTTGAATCAGACTTGTGATTTCTTCCAGGGCCGTCGAGGCTTGATTTCGAATTTTGGCTGAAAGCTTTTTCAAGGGCCGTTGAGGCTTGATTCTTGAAGGTTGACTCGAACACATGACAAGCAGGCACGAGGTGAAGGTGACGACTTGTTGCTCTGTTCAATCTTTCTAATTCACACCTGAGCAGTTTGGTCAACGGTATGATCTTCAAGATTGATGAACTCTTCTTCCAGTTGGTGACTTGATCTTTAAGGATTTGATTCAAGGGTGGTGAATCGGCACGTGCAGCCCACGACGCCTAGTAAGTCGACCCAAGAATTTGAGGGTCAAAACGAGTTCTTCATCTCAGACTCTTTCTGCCGAGTTGACTGAGCATGCTGCATTCTTCTCTGCTTGTTTCTTCAGGCAGATATGGCAGCTTCTTGAGTTCTTCAGCTCGGACTCCTTCTGCTGAGTTGACTGTGCAGACTGCATTCTTCTCTGCTTGTTCCTTCTGCATCTTGTCTCCACATGCTGCAAGGTATCATTTTCACTTGCCTTATCTATTCTTCGGGCAGATGTGGTAGCTTCTTTGGAAGTACAGCAGCAGTGGGAGACGAGTACTCGAGAGCAGTGCTAGGTAGGCAATCAGGGAAGGGTTCCAAGCAGTCGGTTCCTTACCCGAGTTTGAGTGGAAGTTCCGGCATATTGTTTTCTTTATCCTTGTCTTTGTAGGTAAGAACAAGGACAAAGGAAAGGACAGGGAGAACGCATGATATGAGATACTCTTGCTTTCTACCCTGGTGATACGAGATACTTTTGCTTTGGAGTCATTGGCTTGTAGAGGTACCCCAAGGAATAAGGAACATTGAATGACTCGAGAGGCTTCGTTGGGAAAGCATTTTTTGGAGATGAAGAAAGGCTCTGTATGTCTGCCTTGCTATGGAAGGCGAAGGTAGACAATTATAGGAAGTTCTTTGATACTTGTAGAGGTACTATTCTTTCACTCGTGTCGGCAACCAATGCGTGATTGATCTATATGGCTTCACGTGCTTTCTTCTTTATCAGAAATCTTCGACAAATTGTCCGTAATTTCGGCCAAGCTGAGTGTGCATGTGACAGGTGTCGACGCGGCTGAAAAAGACTGGCGCCTCTTCGATAACTGGGATCGGCGCTTCGACAAATTACCCGTGATTTCAGCAAAGCTGAGTTTGCGTGTGATGGGTGCTGACGTGGCTGAAAAAAGACTGGCGCCTCTTCGATATCTGGGATCGGCGCTTCGACAAATTGCCCGTGATTTCCGCAAAGCTGAGCTTGCTTGTGACGGGTGCTAACGCGTCTGGAAAAGCAAGATGCTTCTCCGATTTCTGAGATTGCCTCTTCGATTTTTGAATCGGCATTTTCGAACTTTGAGCTCACCTCTTCGATCTCTGAAATCCCGTCGAGTGCTGATTTTTTATAGAGGCACGCAGTTCGTTTCAAAGCACACTTGAATTTTCGCTTGTAGAAACTCCCTTCTTGCACTTCTAAGATCTTGATTTGTCCGACCTCTTCTTTCTTCAACACCTTTGAAAATGTCTGGACCCTCCGATCGTCGTTTTGATTTGAACCTTGATGAAGAGGTAGTCCCGTCTTCTCTAGATAACATATGGCGCCCATCCTTCATATCCCCCACTGGTCCTCTTACCGTTGGGGATTCAGTGGTGAAGAATGATATGACCGCTGCGGTGGTGGCCCGGAACCTTGTCACTCCCAGAGATAACAGACTACTTTCCAAACGGTCTGATGAGTTGGCTGTTAAGGATTCTCTGGCTCTCAGTGTGCAGTGTGCAGGTTCTGTGTCCAACATGGCCCAACGCCTATTTGCTCGAACCCGTCAAGTTGAATCGTTGGCGGCTGAAGTGATGAGTCTCAAACAGGAGATTAGGGGGCTCAAGCATGAGAATAAACAGTTGCACAAGCTCGCACACAACTATGCCACAAACATGAAGAGGAAGATTGACCAGATGCAGGAATCTGATGGTCAGATTTTACTTGATCATCGGAGGTTTGTGGGTTTGTTCCAACAACATTTGCCTTCGTCTTCTGGGGCTGTACCGCGTAGTGAAGCTCCGAATGATCAACTTTTGGCTCCTCTTCTTCCTGGAGTTCCGCCGAGTGGCGAGGCTTCAAACAATCAACCTCCAGCGCTTCTCATTTCTGGAGCTCTGCCGAGTGGTGAGGTGGCACCTGATCGTCTTTGAAGATCCCCTCTTGTAAATTTGATTTGATTTGATTTTTTTTTTTTTTTTTTTTTTTTTTTTTTTTTGTATGTACAATGCAAATTTATGTAAAAAATTCCATAAAGAAATAAATAAAAACGGACTTTATTTCTCTCGATGTTTTTTTTTTTTTTTTTTTTTGCTATATACATACATATCATGCACATACATGGTGCAATCCGCACCATCCCACCTTCCTACTTGCTTTCCCCTTTTTTTATTCTTTTATTTTTTTATTTTTAGGTATGGTGCCAGATCAATCCAGATTTCCTTTTTTTTTTTTTTTCACATGGTGCCAGAGCACCAAAGACTCCACCATCCCTTCTTTATTCACGTGATGCCAGACGCACCACCACCCTTTTTTTTTTTTTTTTTTTTTTTTTTTTTTGTATTTCTTTCCGTATAAATTAGGATGGTGGTTAGAGGAATTTGCAGGGATGAAGCCGAGCTTCGGAGCACCGCCGTATAGCACCGATGTTCAGAACAACCCCAGGCCCCAACTTCTGCGTTGCGACCCGACCCATCTCTCTCCGCCTGCACTCTACCCAGATCTCC